GTGGCACAGGCAGTCCTGGTCTTTTGTCACAGTACTTGGGAGGAACAGGCAGGCAGCTCTCTGTGAGTTCAAGGCCAGCCTGGTTTATATAGCAAGTTCTAGTTCATCCAGAGCTACATAGAGAGACCCTGTCAAAAGGGGGGGAGGCACATATATAGATAAAAAAAATCACAATGCTAAAATGAATAAACAAACTTTTCAGCTGTAGTAAGCTTGGTTTTTTTCCTGAACATAGTTACTTTTAAAAACTAAGTAAATTAACTGTCTGTAACTGGTCTTGGAAACTATGCATGCTCTAGAAGTAACTGGTAACAAGACAAGGGGGGAATTGGTATAATTTAGAGATAGAAAAGATAGGCTAGGCATGGTAACACACGCCTTTAATTCCAGCACTAGGGAGGCAGAGGCAGATGGAGCTCTATAGGCAGGTGGTCTACGTGGTGAGTTTCAAGCCAGCTGGGGCTACAGAGAAACTCTGTCTCAAAAAGACAACACCAGCCAGCAGTACTCACTACCTCACTAATTGAGGAAGGTCGGTTCCAGGCCATCTGGGAGTAAAGGGAGATTTTTCTTTTTTTCTTTTCTGGAGCCGAGGACCGAACCCAGGGTGCTCGATAGGCAGGCACTCTACCACTGAGCTAAATCCCCAACCAACCCCGAATTTTTTTCTTTTTTAAAGAACCGTACCTAGCAACCGTACCCGGGCATCATGGGAGGGAAGGAAGGAAGGAAGGAAGGAAGGAAGGAAGGAAGGAAGGAAGGAAGGAAGGAAGGAAGGAAGGGAAGGAAGGAAACTGAAGACCATACACATACTTCCTAAGAAGGAAACTGAAGACCATACACATACTTCCTAAACCCTATTTTCATTTAAAAATACTCTAAGGGCTGGGCACGGTGGTTCACACCTGTAATCCTGACACTTGGGAGTCTGAGGCACATGGATTGCATGAGTTCAAGGCCAGCCTGGGGCCACAGAATGAGACTCTGTCTCTGCAGTGGGGGCTGAAGAAATGGTGAAATGGTTGAGTGCTTTCTGCTCTTGTAGATGGCCTGAATTCAGTTCCCAGCACCCATGTGGTGACTCAAAAAGGTCTCTAACTCCAGTTCTAGGTGATCTGATGCCCTCTTCTGGCTTTTGCACACACACGGTGCACATGAACTCATGCAAGCACACATACATAGACATAAAAATCAAATATGGGGCTATAGAGATGGCTCAGTGGTTAAGAACACTGGCTGTTCTTGCAAAGGACCCGGGGTTCAGTTCCCAGCACCCACACAGCAGCTATGAACCATCTATAACTCCAGTTCCAGGGAATCAATGCCCTCTTCTGGCCTCCAGGGCACTGCATTCATGAGTGCATTTACATGCAGGCAAAATACTCATACATATAAAATAAAAATAAATAAATCTAAATAAATTTTCTTCTAAAACACCCTCTAGGGAAGAATGTTTGGGAGGGGAAAAAAGCTTTAACAGAGCTTTTGTACTGAATACTCTACTAACAAAACATGATCAAGTTTTAAAAGTTTCACTATTGGGTGGCTAACAACCACCTATAACTAACTCTAGCTCCAAGGATTCAACCTACATTTCTGACCTCTGCAGGTACCTACACCACACACATACACACACACACACACACACACACACACAGAGGCATGCACAATTAAAATTAAAACCCTGTATCCTTTTAACATCTTTTAGATTCTCATTTTCTTTTAAAAAAAAATAATTATAAGACATAATAGCATTAATAAACAAATTTTCCATCTGTTGTGAGACTTCTTTTCCTTGGGCTGGTAAACAATGCTTATTCCCTTTTAAGGTTCTAGTGTCAAGCCAATGTTTGTTTAAAGTTTTACTGGGAAACCAATGAATTTATTGAGCTTACTTACCAAGATAACTGAGGGGTTGCTGAGGTATATGTATGACCTGGTATGCACACTGGAATGACCTGGTATGCACACTGGAAAGCCTTTAGCCAGCATGGGTCATGCCTTCACTTCCTAGCCTTCCCCAGATTGTATATTTTAGCCCTCCCCAAATCCAGGAGGCCATGTGTGATTAGGGCCAAATTACATACAGTTGGCTGGGAAGCATTGCTGGATACTCAGGTGAGGGTCCAATGACCCTGCTTGGCCCTCCTTTAATGAATGAGCACAACTGTCAACAA